GGATATTCTGAACGTGCTAATTAAAATGTTAGCTATTGCTTGAGCAGAGGAAAACTAATTTTGTTCACACATGATGAATGAGTGGGATAACATGTCAGACTATATCCCAGACCTTATAATCACTTATCAAAAGTTAAGCATTCATTTATTTAATTCAAACCAAGTCATTAAATATAAGTGCATTAAAAAAGTAAAGTTAAAGTTAAAAGAAAAATCAGTAAGTCAGGTAAGTGTTAGCATTCTAGCCTCTATAAGCCTAAGATCACTTTTGATGCTGTGGAATGTGTGAGATGCTGACAAGGGAATGTGCTTGGCAAGGGACCAGCAAGTGCCTGAGGCAAAAACACTAGCAAAATATGCAAATCCCTTGCATTAAGAGCAAAACGAATTTGAGCAGCAGACCCTGGATTCCAGCCAGCACCCCTTACCTTACTTAGCAAGACCTCAGGAAGGTGCTGGAACAAAAGAAGCTGCCACGGGGGGTTGAAGATACCTGGAGGTCATGTAGGTGCATTAGCAAACTTTGAGGTAATTGGACAGTACTGTCAAAAAAAAAAAAACACAGATGATGCTCATTGAAAACTGAAATTTGGCTAGCTTGCCGCAGCCACACCCAGGGAAGCTGTTTTTGACAAGAGCACAGGTAAGCAGTGGGTTGAAGGATTGAGCTATGGAGCAGCTGTGGCTACACAAGTAGAGCCTCCAGCAACCCTGCTTCTTCACATCATCAGTCGCCATCAGTGGCTTCATCTCCTAGGGTACTAATGCCTGCCTGAGATGCCCCACCTCCACACAGAGTTGGTGCCCATCTGATTGCAACTGGTTTTTATACAGGCTAAAAAAAAACCTGACGTAAAAAGGCTGAGGCTTGTGTAAAATCACCTGGTTTCCTAAGGTTGTAGGTTCTGAACTATCAAATAGATGGTATTTTAAATCATTGTCATTTGCAAAGATAATTAAACATTATGCAACCAAAAAGGAGAAAAGTCTTATGGAGGTTTGTTTGGCAATGAATAAAAATGTTATTTTCCTAGATTTTTTTTTTTTTTTTTGGAAATTTTTTAGCTTTTTAAGATTTGTCATGTCTTTTCTCGGTCTAAAACACTTGCACTTAAATTTGTATTTGTAACTTTGGTTGTTGTTTTTTCTTTAAAAGACCCCTCTCCATTGTATAAGCTAAAGGACCACAGACCTCTGCTTAGCCACAACTAGATGTGAGATCTAATTCCTTCATTGATTCAGTGAAGAGAAACTTCTCTCTGGTTTGAAACAGGAGACAAATGAAGGATGCTCTGGATGTTTGGGATAAGAAATGAAATAAATGTTTTTGTATCTTTCAAGGGTGAGCATAAGGTTACATTACTTGCCTACTACTTATCTTAGGGAGACAGCTGACAAGGAGAAGTGAAGTGGTGGGTACATTTAAAACATTCTCAGCCAATTTGACCATATTTTAACATCATCACCAACTCATGGTGTTTGCATCCTTAGGATAAACTCTGTAGTCTCAGTTCTCCAGTTTCTCCTTGTCACGTGGAGACACATGGGAAAAAAACTGAGAAGTTAGAGGTGGAGGGGCCTCTAGAGGGGATTTTTTTCTGGCTGTGAGAGACAGCCAGCCTGGTCTTTCCATGTCTATATCAGTTCATTGTAGCTGCTATCTGTACAATTAATAGAGAGAAACAGCATCATGGGAGCGATCCCCTTTTTATCTGGTGTTCTTCTCTACTGTCTGTAGTGTTTTGAGCTGAAAACTGGTACTGCATTTTGTTAAAGTAATTAAAGAATGTCATTAGACTGAAGTGGCCCTCATTGCTTTGGTGGCCTACGTAAACAAACCCAAATCTTGAGCCAGAGTCTATGCATTTGAATCTGAGAAAAAAAGAGAAAAAAAAGAAAAGAGAAAAAAAAAACTCTTAAGAACAACCAAACATAAATAGCCAAGGAGGTTCTCCCAAATAAGGAAACCATAAGTGATAGCCAGTCAAATTCCTTGCTTTGCTTTCTGCACCTTCTCTATAAAAGCCTTTGCATGAATGGGGTTGTGGGAGGGAGGCAATGGAGCAAAAAGGACACCTATGTAATACCTTAATCAATAAAGAAAAGGGGAAAAAAAAAAAAAACCTTTGCCGTGGCTCCTGTCAGTGGAGCTCTCCTAGCCACTTTTAGTTTTGTGTTTAGCTTGATTTCAAATAAAATTGAAAGCTTTAATATGCCTCAGTTTGCCCTTTAGCAGTTTCTAATCCTGCTCACTGTAGGGGGAAAAAAAGATCAAAAAGTGGCATCCCTCTCTTTGTTCACAATTCTTATTCCTACAATTCTTGCCACTCCACTCCCATTCCTTAATTCTGTACCCAATAAGAAACCCTACTGCATAGTTATGATGCAGATGATGGTGACAATGACTGATATTAGTTGAACACTTAATAGAACACATTATGCGCAGCACTTGGTCATTAATCATCACATGAATCAGCACAACAATACTTTGAGATAGGCACTGTCGTTACTGGGGAAACTGAGATTTAAGTAAACTTTGATTACTTAACCAATGTTTCAAATTGCAATGACAAATTTCAAATGACAGAACACAGTGCATTTATATAAACCATAAACCCTTGTAACCACTGATACAGCCATATTAGAATGTAATGCCAGGAGGTGGAAATCTTATTGATCTTTATCTTTGCTGTAGACGTTATAATGTTTGTTGAATGAATGACTGAGCATGCCTGGAGATAATTAAAATAGAAATTACCAAAAGGGAGAGTCAATAGAGTGGAAGGTGATGGGCAGATGTAATTAAAAAATAATAATGAGCCCAGTGAGTTGGGCCACAACTGGGAGAACAAATCTATACAATTTGGATCTGCATGTGTGCATGTGGGCAGGAATGTAGCAGGTAAGTGTAATTGTTATGTTTTGTGCTTTGTGGATATTTAAACATCCTTATTGGTTTTGTTAGTTATTAGCAGCAGGCTTTTTTTCCCATATAATTTTTTTCTGAGATTTATCTGAAAATAGTAACAAGACAAGTAGCCATAAAGCTACCTCATTAGATTCACTTAATCCCCTCATCATGACTATGTTTATAGAAAAATGGTTAAAGATTATTATTTTAGGATTTATTTTTTAAAGTAATCAAAATTGTGCGAAATAATCACCCTAATGTAAGCAAACATCATCTGTTAGTTCTTTTAATTTATTCTCTACATCCTAATTTTCTTTGCCATATGTATTTTCTTACCACTTTTCAGACTTCTTAACACTCTCTTTTTTCTTTAAAAAAATCTGACTTCCTCTAAATTCATTCCTCCTTTTGCTTGTCCTCATCATCATGAATAAATTGTGTATGTATGAAGATGTCAGTGTTTATAGATGAATGATGTGAATCAGAATACATTAAACTGACACTGTCAGTCTTCTTTCAACACCATCTCACAAGCATAAATTTCTCTTTTTTAGGAAAAAGGAATATTCCTACATAAAAACATCCTCAACTATTTAGGCCTTGTTTTTTGTGATTATTCCAAATAAGTGTCAAAACTTGCAGTTAAATAATTGAGAAAGAGTTTTATACCTAGAAAAGTTTCAAGGGGAAGGTATTTAATACCCAGTTAGTTGGGTTTCTTCCATAGGTACCACATGAGGACAGATTGAGAATGCAGAATTTTCTGCAAAGATGCTTAAGTTAACCTATTTAAGCATTAACTTCCATTATAAAACTAGAGGCCTGGTACACGAAAATTAATGTCCCCTGGGGGGATCCCTCAGCCCAGCCTGCGCCCTCTCACAGTCTGAGACCCCTCACAGTCAGACATCCCTCTGGCAGCCGGGGAGCCCTGGGACGGATGTCCACCTGCAGCCTCGGCCCGCTTCCCACCATGGCTGCTATTCTTGCAGCAGTTAGCTCAGCTTGTGACTGAGAAGAGCTTCCCCTGTGGGAGTGCACTGACCACCAGGGGGTAGCTCCTGCATTTAACATCTGTTCCCCGGTGGTCAGTGTGCATCGTAGCAACCAGTTGTTCCCAGTCATTCGGCTATTAGGGTCAATTTGCAAATTATCCTTTTATTATATAAGACTTGAGGGAGTTGTCCCATATAAAAATGGCCTTTAGATAATGAAATCATACTTAAGAAGTTTCTTTGTAGATATAAAAGATTTTAATAGCCTTCTAAGTAGATATTAACAATATTTAAATATAAATATATTTAAATAATACTTAAAACTTTTTCATCAGCTCATATTTAATGATCATCAGTAGATTAATATTTTGTTTCTATATATTTAACTGAGAGGTGTCTATCAAGGACAGAAATACAAGAATATGATACTTATGAAGCATAAATATTTTTGGATACTAGCTGTTTATTTCACAGTCATATACTGTGGAAAAGTGAGCCACTACCTGCCATAGCTAACAAGATAAGATGAAAGACAACAAAGCTTGATATGGATCTATTATTTGATTGATGAATTTCTCAAATTTGAAATTAAATGAATTGGTAAAATAAGATATTTCTTCTAAAATTAACTGAAGGATTCACAATGTTTTAATTCTATATATCAATGGAATTTTCACAAATACCCCTATTTTCCTTTATTTTGAATTCCAACATTTACAAGAGGTGTTAAACATGAAATATTAGTTGACAAGCAGTAAAAGGTACCAGTGCTCTTACTTTGTCCTCTCATATACTTTTTTTAAATTTTTGATACATATGAATATATATATATATATATATATATATATATGTGTGTGTGTGTGTGTGTGTGTGTGTGTGTGAGTGTGTGTGTGTATTGAATAGTACAATACTGAATATTGAATAAAACACAGTGCTATACAGCAGATCTCTCTAACTTTTTCATTATATTCACCCTGTAATCTTCTGTTACATGGGGTCTTGATTTTAAAAAAAGCCCCAAATTAATATTTTTTATTAAGTTAAAGAAAATCTATATTGAGGGAACTGCACTTCCTATTCCTCACAGCTTTGACCACTGGAAGTTCATGAACAATGAATTCACTTCACTCTTCCTGTTGGAACACTTCTGCTGAACTTTTGAACAAATCCTGGAATAATGAGTTTGCTTATCAATCCCTCAGGGTTGTGGATACAGTCATCCTCCCTTCCATGGTTGGGCTTATCTGCTCAATGGGGCTGGTTGGCAACATCCTCATTGTATTCACTATAGTAAGGTAAGGCTTCTTCTCCTTTCCCTCATTGTAGGGACTTTCTGTACTCCCTAGGTGAATCCTCGTCTCCTTGGAGGATTTTTCTTAGTGAAATCAGGTATAGAATATGTGATTAAGGTAATTAAAAAAGATTCTATAGATATTTTTTATCATGTATTAAATAACATCTGAGTTGCAGGTCTCAAAATGAAAAGACCTAGGCCAATGCTTATTGCTGAGTTAGTGAATTTTTAGAGCTATGATTCTCAATCTCAGCTACATATTAGAATCACTGGGGAGCTTTTAAGAATCTTAATATATAATTTTGCCCCAGACCAGTTAACTCAGAAACTCTGGGTTTAGAGCCCAGGCAGGGGTTGAAACTATGAGGCACCCATTTTATTTTCTAGCAATAAGAGTTATCCTAAGAAATTGAGCTGCTTTGGCTGGTAAGAAGACTCTCACTTGGGCAAGAGAAAGACCCATAAACTTAAGCAGTCATAGATAGTGGTCTGTTCCCCTCAATACTGACCACCCTGGATAGGCCAAATGAGAGACAAAGTGACACTGGGAAGCAAGCAGTGAACCAATGTATGACTTTTCCAAAGAAGACTAAAAGCATAAATGAAAAAAAAAAAAAAATAGTCTTAAGCAAGATGGAGCCTCCAGACTCAGATGTTCTATATGACTTTTTTTTTTTTTAGTAAGAGGTGATAGATACATTAAGTGGGTGACTACAAAGTAGTGAGACCAGATCATCACCAGTGTGTTATACTTTAAACTTAGAGCAGGTCAAAGGAAACCAGATTAGAAAGTGTAGGAGGAAAATTGAGCCAATGATAACATTTCCCCTTTTATTCTTCAGGGAGAGACTAATGAACTCAACCCCTTTACTCAAGTATTCTCCACAGCCATGGTGGGCCCTGGAAAACTATTTCAATAAAGAAAATGGAGTTTTCCTCCACTGATTCCCCTCCTCCATGTCTTCAACACGTCTTTCTTCTGTCTACCCACAGGCCACTTGAATTGAACGGAGACTGTAAGAAATGGCCTGTCTCCCAATAAAAAAAAAAAAAAAGTTCCCACTCTGTCAGTCCCTGCCTTCAACTCCCTGTCAAGGCAACGAATCCACACTAAATCATAAATTACTCAGACACCTTACTTTTTAACCCTCCCAATGGTGCCTACATTTTACACTGAGATTACAACAGGGACAGTGTATTAACCTGAGGAAACACTAATAATCAAATGGGAGAATACAAGCTGCTAAGAAGGGAAAATGCTCAGAGCAAGGCCTCTTCCTCCCCACCCCCAACCCCCAGCTTAAATCAAACTTTCACCCACCCCTCTACTGTTCCCATAAAGTTGCAATCAGGCTGTCCTCTAGGACAACAGTCATCTTGGCTGGGGCTGGAGCATCAGCTTTCAAGGTAGCTCACCCACACACCTGGCTGGTTGGTGCTGGTTGTTGGCAGGAGGCCTCAATTCCTCTCTAGGTGGACCTCTCCACAGAGTTATTATGGAGAGTGTCACAAGATGACAGCTGGCTTCCCCAAGGGAAATGATCCAAGAGAGAGCAAGGAGAAACCTCCCCAAAATTTTTTTGTCCTGATTTTAAAATGTCACACACTGTCATTTCCACCTTATACTATTTGTTAAAAATGACTTACTAAGTGCAACCACCCTCAAAAGGAGGGAATTAGGCTCCATGTTTTGAAAGCAATATCTAAGAACGTACAGACACATTTTTAAACCACCACAGTTACGTCTCAAGCATATAGTTCAAACTGTTTAAATATACCGGGAATTTGTGTGTACACTTGTATACATTTTCCTTTAACTTTTAAAATTCATTTTGGCAATTGAAAATGTGTAACAGGTGACATACATGGAAGAAGGTGCATACTTTCTATGTCAGTCTTCAGTTTCCACCCATTTCTTTCAGGTCGAGGAAAAAAACTACTCCTGACATTTACATCTGCAACTTAGCTGTGGCTGATCTGGTCCACATCATCGGAATGCCCTTTCTTATTCACCAGTGGGCCCGAGGAGGAGAGTGGGTATTTGGGGGACCTCTCTGCACCATCATTACATCGCTGGATACCTGCAACCAGTTTGCCTGTAGTGCCATCATGACTGTAATGAGTGTGGACAGGTAAGTGAAGAGACTGAAATATCTAACATAATTCAAAGGTGCCTGTGCTTCGTACTTTAAGCAACATCAGAGCTGGTTTGTAACAGCCAGGCTCCTCTTCCTTTGCCTGTCTGATTGTAGAATTGATTATGTAAGAATATCTGTTCCTATTTTCACGGAAGTCTATTTTTGATGGAAAGCTTAAAACACTAAAATCTTTTTTCCAATCAATCTTTTTGACCTCCGTTTTATTTACAACTCACTACAATATAAAAGAATTTCAAAACCATGCAAAGTTGGAAACTAGAATGAATGCCCTCTTGATTCTTGTAATAAAAAAGCTAAGGCCACCAAGAAGTGAGGGTTTTTGCTAAGGGTACAGAGGGAGTTCATGAAAGAGCTGAGAACTGAAGTGGGTCTCCTCACTCCCTCTCAGGGCTATTTCTCATATGTTCAAAGTCTCACACACTCTTTCTATTACCTAGCACCTAACGGAATCAGTGGAGTAGAAACGGACTCCTTACACAGATATAAGGAAATATCCCAGTACCAGGAAGACCATCTTTTACACTCATCATTATGCCTCATTAATGCAAATGCTGCCATTTTACATCATTAGCAATGTATTCTACTGTGAGCTGGAGTATGGCACAGCCATATCACCAACCATGTAAGATAATGTTATTTGAGAAGATGAGAGTGATGGTGAGTACTTACAGGGCCAATTATGGTGGAGCCCAGTTCAGACCCAGGCTGTCTCTAAAGTTGGCAGGTGGCTTATAATTATCTCACCACCTGACCTCTTTCAGAAATATGCAAGCCAGGATGGGCCCTGCATCGTCCAGATGCCAAGACTTCCACACCAGGTCTTCCCCATACAGAAGTAAGTCCTAAAAGACAACATAACCCACACAACAAGAATTGTCTCAGAGAGTAACCTACCTAAAATCTCAATCCACATTCTTCCCACCCAACCCAGTTCAGCACACTAGAACTCCCTTGCTTCAAATAAATCACATAGTATAATTTACCGTGTGTGTGTGTGTGTGTGTGTGTGTGTGTGTGTGTGTGTGTGTGTGTTCCTTATTGTCTAGCTTCCCCCTACCCCTCAAATATAAATTCCACAAAGGCAGGTTTGATCATTGATATATCCCAAGTGTCTGTGTAACAGGGCCTGGCAAGTGGGTGCTCAAAAAACATTGATGAATGAATGGCCATCCATCTTGAGGGCTGTGTTAAATTTCCTGGGTCGATCCAGGACTTCTTCCTGAGCTCTGACCCTTTTACTTGTCCAGTGGGCCTTTGAGGTGGGAAGTTATAGGTAGTTCTTCTGATGGATAAACAAACCATCAGAGGCTGGATTATTATTCAGACATGAATAATAATAGTAATGTTTGATGCATTTTTTTGTATCTTGTTGCTTTTCTCCAAAAGAATCCTCCAAATATAGAGTGTGTTTCTTAAGTCATAATTAACATCACATTTTTTTTTGTATTTTATTGATTTTTTTACAGAGAGGAAGAGAGAGGGATAGAGAGTTAGAAACATCGATGAGAGGGAATCATTGATCAGCTGCCTCTTGCACACCCCTACTGGGGATGTGCCCGCAACCAAGGTACATGCCCTTGACTGAAATCGAACCTGGGACCTTTCTGCAGGCCAACGCTCTACCAGGCGTCCTCAAACTTTTTAAAGTGGGGGCCAGATCACGGTCCCTCAGAGAGCTGGAGGGCCGGACTATATGAACTACTAATTCCTACTGTAACACCTCGGCTGCGCTCACTGCCCAAAAAACCTGGCGGGCCGAATCAGACTCCTCTGCGGACTGCATGTGGCCCGCGGGCCGTAGTTTGAAGACCCCTGCGTGAGCCAAACTGGTTTCGGCAACATCACATTTTTTAATGAATGTACTGTGTAGGTCAGGATAATTCACCTGATGCCAACCAATGCTGACAGTGCCTTGAGTAAAGCCTGGCCAGCTTGGCAAGGTCCCAACACTAGAGAGAGGGCCCTGCACAGGGCAGGCCACTGCAGACAAGCAACCTAAAGTACATGTCTTCCCAATCACAACACCATTCTTGGGGATAATAAAACCTGCTTTACACACTGTACACTGAATAAAAGGGCGTACTGGCTTTTCCTTTAACTGTACCTCTTCTGTGAGCCTCTTACTCTACAACCTCTACACCCATCACAACTCTGCTTTTCTAAATACCTTTCATTCCAGATCTGAACACTGTTTTTCATTCTTTAGCTTTTAGTTGCCTCTTAACATTCTTCTTGGATTTGCTATAAATCCATTTGATATATCAGGATTTCAAGTTTGATTAATGATTACCCTTTTTTTCTGGATCAGAAGTTGAAAAAAAGAAAAGAAGGAAGAAAAACACTTCGCTATAAAATGAGCCCATTTCCCCCTCTAGCCTGAAGCCTCAGACAATTTGCAATAGTCTATACTAGTCATGTTTGTTTATCCTCGCTGTGATTTGTCTGAACTGTACCCCCAAGTGCCTGGGGACTCTGCTGAAAAGCTATCTGAGCAAAATGCCTGTCCCATGGCCAGAACCTCTCCCTGCTGGGGGGCCCTCCCTCCAGCCAGCGCACTTCCCTCTTCCTAAGGGCAGAGGGCTCCTGCCTCCCGGAGGAAATCCCTGTTCAGAGACCAAGCTTTATAGAGCCTCATCTACAAGGAAAGCACCTTTGTAAAGAGAGAGTTTGCAGGGCAGATTTTACCCTCCTCAGTGTGTTTGTGGAAGTGACAGCTGTTTCTAGGAGTGGTCTATTCAGACTTGCAGGGTCAAGAGTTGCTTTTTCTATAGGTACCAGCCAGCTCTTAAAAATTACTATAACTTTCTTCTACCCTGAGAGCGGTATGTTTCAGGAAGAATAATAATACTAATAATTTACTCTTGTCATGAACCATTCATTGTTGTTGCTCAATGCTGTTATCGATTATTCCCAAACCCTTTTTAACTGGCTTTGCAGGTACTTGGCTCTCGTCCAACCATTTCGACTTACAAGTTGGAGAACGAGGTACAAGGCCATCCGCATCAATGTGGGCCTCTGGGCAGCTTCCTTCATCCTGGCGCTGCCTGTCTGGGTCTACTCAAAGGTCATCACGTTTGAAGACGGCGTGGAGAGCTGTGCTTTTGATTTAGCATCCCCTGACGATGTGCTCCGGTAGGTGGTTTCAACTTAAGAAAAATGGAGTTGAATTAAGTTATGAAGTGCTTCAGCCTCTTTGTCTGCATGCCTGTCCTTGGGGATCCTCTCCCAGACAGTCTTTCCACTTAGTTACCTGCCTTCCATAATCAAGTTGATCTAAAAAGATTTTGAGTTTAATCATTAACTTTATTGGGCACAAATATATCTAAATATGGATTTTAAAGAATCCTGGCCACAAATCCAGTAACAGCAAACTCCCAAGGAGTGCAACCCCGACAGGATTGATTATTTATTTGTTATTTCTCCCACCAGCATTGGCTGCATGCACAGACAGAAACTGGCCAATCTAAAGGTGAAATGATACTTCATCACAGACATTGATAAGTTAATATGGACATCAACCTCTCTAAAAGAAGAGCACAACTTGAGGCTCACTATCTAACTATAGGACTTTGGTCTGTGTCAAAGAAATACAAAAGATTAATTATTTTGCACTGACAGCTGCTTCTTCTATTTTTTATTGGTTATTATAAAGAATATTCTGAGTTTTTTGGCCTCTGTTGTTCCTCCTGGAATTAAATTCTTACAGTAAAATGGAATTTCTGTGCTACCTCAGAGTCCTTCTGGTCCCAAGTTCTCTATCTCCTTTCTCTTCTCTTCTCTCCCCTCTGTCCTCTCCCCTCTCTTCTCTCTGCTTTTCTCTGTCTCTGTCCACACCCACCCACCTGAGCTGCTTCCTTCTCCAACACCTGGCATTTGTACAAAACTGGAATTGGTTTACCTGAGCCTTCCCCCTGGCAAAGCAACTGAGGAAAAGACTGGCAATTTTACAAACAGGCCCTTTGAGGCCATCTCAATCCTTGGCTACAAGAATGGGCTGACTCTATAGCTCAACTGTCCATCTGGGTTCAAATCCCCCCTCTGCCACTTACTAACTGGCTAACCTTGAGCAAACCACTTAACCACTCTGTGCCTTAGTTTCTTATTCTGTAAAATGTGGATAATAATGCCATTGTACTAATGGGATTGTACAGATTCAGTGGGTTAAAATATCTAAAGCACTCAGATCATGGCCTAATATATAGTAAATGGTATCTGCTATTGCTAATAACACTAAAGATGATAATAATAATAATAATAATAATAATAATAATAAGTATCCTTACCCATTCCATACTCAGTAATGCTGGCCTTGAGTGCTGAAAGATAAGCATCAGTGTCAGTGAACAATGAGGAAAGCACCCAAAGATGCTAAATTCTTCCCCCCAAGGACTTTTCTCCTGGGCCCTGAAAAATCAGAGAATCATGCCTCATAAACTGCAAAGCCAGTGCCTAGCGTTGTGAATGTAATAGGCATGTCTTCTCTCTCTCTCTCTCATTTTACAGGTACACACTTTATTTGACGATAACAACTTTTTTTTTCCCTTTGCCCTTGATTTTGGTGTGCTATATTTTAATTTTATGCTATACTTGGGAGATGTACCAACAGAATAAGGATGCTGGATGGTAAGTGTTTGCCTTATTTCTCTTGATTTATTGAAAGAACAATGCATAGAAAAGTAACACATGGGCTCTCTAAGTCTGTTGAATATTACCCCTTTCACTATCTTCTATTTTTGCCTTTATTCTTTTTTTTTTGTTTCTGTTTTGTTTTAATTGCTAAAAATATCAACATTATGAATAAGTACAATGATAAATTTTGCTAAACTCTTGCCATTAAGTATAATACTTGGAATCTGACTCTTGGTTCTAATGTATTCCAATGAGCTGTTTATTTTTTTTTCTTCCTGTCTTTCCTTGTTTCTAATAAAAGATTAAGACTAAAATAGTCCTCCTTCAGAAATATACAAGAGCATATTTAATTTAGTTTTATTCCTAAAAGTGGGTAATCAAAATGATATGATATAAAATTTCTGAATGTTCCTCTCAATATTATTTTTTCTCATCAATGGCTTTTCAAATATTTAAAGTTTTGAATTTGAGATCCTGTAAGACTACTTTATTTTTATCATAGATATGAATAATATGTTAATAAAATATATTGTATGTTTAAAAAAAAAAAGAGCAATGCAAAGGTCCTAAGACATCTACAACAGAAATTTAAACAGTAATCACTTGACACATACTATATTTAGATATATAGGTGTTAATGTCTGTATGAGGCATTTTCTGAAAATAAGACATTTTCTGGATCAGATATTTGAGAGTCTGTCAGTGAAATTAGTTGAAATTACTGAAGTAGTATTTTCATTAAAAAATGTGAGCAGAACTCAAGATTCTATTTAAAGAATAATTTTATATTTGTAATCAACAGTGTTATTTAAATGTTTTACTTGTACATTTTGCAGGCTTGTGTACATATGTCAGTATCCTAAATGATGTGTATAACTTCAAATTTTTGTTTTAATTTTTTAATTTATAGAAATATCTCATTAGTATTTGAATGCTTAGGACAATATTAATTAGAACTAAAGAAAAACAAAGACTTACATAAAGACAATAAACTAGGGGAAGACCTTTAAAGATACTTCTCTCTAAAAACACATGAATAAATATAAATTATTCTCTACTTGAAACTGTATGTAACAATTTGTTTTAATGCATAAGTCAATGTTTTATAAAAACATGTTGGGTTAAAAAATTATTAAAATTTGTTCTTAGACTAGATTGTTGTATTTGTTTTGAAAAGATGAGATTCCTGGGTTTCACACACATACCACATATGACACTATAAATGTTTTTTTTAAAAAACAATAGGTGAACAATTTATTCACCGTTGGTCAAAATTTGTGTCAAACCTTGGTACCAAAGGTTTAAATGGTCTATTAACCCATGACATTTTTTCCCACTTAGAATTTCTTGAAATTCTTTGGAAATTTTCATTCTTCATTCTTTAAGCATGGTCTATTAGAATGGGAAAGGGAAGCAGCCACAGTTATATGGGGGGAAATAGCTCCTAAATGTATCACAGGGTGTTGAGGTGGTGGGAAAGTTAAAATTGAATATTAAGACACTGACAGCTATTCTTTCTCATTTTATTCAGTCATATATTTATATCAGTATAGACTCGTGTACTTGATACTTTGGGCTTTAACGCAATAGTATGTTATTTATTTTGTTTCTTAAAATCTTCCAGCTTTGGGAAAAATTTAACAGGAATGAAAAAATCATTTTACAATGTCTGAATAAGTAAGAATAAAAAATGAGCTTCATATTGCACTGCATCCATTCTCAACTGTCCAAAAAGTTCTAGGACCCCATTGCCCTGCAGTTTCTAAGGTTTTTCATGTTCTATCCTAATGTTGCCTTTGCAGTTACAATCCCTGTATCCCGAGGCAGAGGGTCATGAAGCTGACAAAGATGGTGCTGGTGCTGGTGGCAGTCTTCGTCCTTAGCGCCGCCCCCTATCACGTCATCCAGCTGGTGAACTTGCAGATGGAGCAGCCCACGCTGGCTTTCTATGTGATCTATTACCTCTCCATCTGCCTCAGCTATGCCAGCAGCAGCATTAACCCTTTTCTCTACATCCTGCTGAGTGGAAATTTCCAGAAACGCCTGCCTGGACTGCAAAGGAGAGTGATTGAGAGGGAAAGCCACCACATGGAAAACACCTTAAAATCAAGTTTTTAGGGGAGTACCTAGATCAACAATCATCTCAACGGGCATGTCTAAGTTACTGGTATTATTAGAAAGGCAAATAGTGGAACAGAAGGGTAACCATTCAATGCAATGAGTGTAATATGTTACCTTTAGTAAGATATGAAAGATGTATCTGCACTTGAGAGTAGGGAATGGAACAGCCTAAGATACTCAGCTCCATGGTTATGGGTGTTATTTCAGCATGTTATAAACTCCTCACTGATAAAAGTGGCCGTCCATGACCATCGACTAAAAACTCACCAAGGAACCTGAGCTCGCCATCCACACTTTGGTCTCACTGTAACAATGCCCTTGAAGTTCCTAGGAGAGGGGGCATCACCTTACAATGAAGACTTAAATTTGGCCATTTTTCATCTACAAAAATGTCAATTTCACATAGTACAATCAAATGTCTTCAACACTCAGTTTTACCTGTTAGCATAACAGTTACCATGTATAAGATTACAGGTAACAAACTGTGAAGTATTGTCTCAGTTCGCTAAGCACAGAAAGGTTAAGCAATAGGCCTAATGCTGCACAGCTATGTAAGAGCTGGGCTGAAGTCCAGTTCTGCCTACTTTTGTCTTTTTACTGCATTACCTTGGCAGCCTGTACCTACCATTAAGGAGGAAGCCACCAAGTAATTTTGGATATGGGGATTACTTTTTCCTACAGCCCCACAAGAAAAGAAAGTCTACAAAATATTAGTTGATGGTTTTAAGCATATTCTTTTGCATTTAGCATTGTTCTCATACCTACAAATTATAGAAACCAGTGTCTCCATTTTAATAAAGGTATTCTTCAGGATGTTAACATATTCTTAGTTACATAATTTTTGAGTTACAGTACATGTTTGTTCAAGGGTACAAAAGTAATTAGCTCTTAAATTTGTGGGTGTTCACATAGGTTGTATATATCTACTAGGAGCCCAGTGCACAAATTTATGTACCTTGAAAGAAACTGTGGGCTGCAAGGCTATGGTGGGCACAGGAGCAGGTCTCAGCCCATCTTCCATGCCCCCACCCAGCTCCTCCCACCTCAGCCCCCAGTCCCCTGTCTGCCAGCAGCCCTGCTCCCACTACCCCACTATCAAGCACTGACACACTGAGGGCACCAGCCCTGCTCCCACCTGCTGATGAGCCAGCACCAGCATCAGGTGTGAGAGGCAGCTATTGCCCTGATCACCCCTTAGGAGCAGGAAGAGGTGGAGAATTCCTGAGGAATGATCAGAGCCAGCAGGCACCACTCTTACCCAGTGTCGGCACATAGCAATCAGGGCCAGAGCCAGGCACTAGTAGCAGGTGCAAGCAGCAGCTCCAGAGCTGGCAGCAGATGCAAGTGCTAGGCAGGACTGCAGCATGCAAGAGCAAAGAATTTTTAGTAACCACCAGTGGCTTGCCCCAATGACAGCAACTGGCACCCCACCTTGATCTGGTGCCCCCATTCACCTGCTCCATCATACCACCATGGCCAATGCCTGCCATGGTCTATGCATGCCCCCTAGTAGTCAGCACACATCATAGCGACCAGTTGTTCTATTGTTCGGTTGTTCCATTGTTCAGTCTATTTGCATATTAGGGTTTTGTATATATAGATCTTTTTCTCTTTTGGTTTGTATAAAACATGCATTTTGATATAGTAAAGAAAGAAAAAAAAATGCTTTTAAAGCCTATATTCTCGACAAAGGTAAAGCTTTTTATTTTGTTTGTGAATGAAATCTGTAAACCCACCTCCTACATCTAAATACATAAACCTGCTTGCTCCAAGGACATTTGAAACTTATTTTTAATCAGCCCTTAATATAAGAGTTACAGAGACCAACTTTTTTTAGCAACTTAATCTCCGTTTTTATATATTGTCAAGATGCTTGTCTTTCAACCCAATGTTATTGGTTCTAGGTATTTTAGAGGGTTCTTTGAAACAATGTAGATCTAAATGCGTGTCCGGATGAAAGTTCGTGTAAACAATGTGAAAACGACATGCAGGTCACATCTGAGGTGTTTTAATTCTGTAACTGAGATCTGGAGAGCTGCACAGAGGCTGGATGCTCCTTTATCACTTTGATCAAACTCTGTGTCGTGGCCATGATTCCAAGGGCCTTCATTCTCACTTCTCTAAGGTGCAACAGACAGGGTCCTGCGATTAACCAACATCTGAAGACCCAACACTGGTGTTATCACTTGATAAGTGAAGAGCAATTGAATTGTTTACTTCCTTTGTCTTTTTAATAAGAAAACATTGTTATTATAAAGACCTAAGTGGTTTTAAACCAATAGACATTTTTCTTACAGCATTTCCAATAGTCCTCAAATAATCCCAATATACAAATTGGTCAGTGAAGTATTTGAATTTATATTTATTAAGAGTTATAAAAAATTTAATTGAAGTGCAAATTTCTTTACAGGTGACTATTAAATTTATCTTTGTGCCTTTTTATAGCCTTTGTATGCATGAGCATATACATGCAGACTTTCAGAGGTGGTGTGACAGAGATTCTATATGGGTTTTGTATTTTTGCCCATGACATGAATACATATTTACATTCAAGAGAAATTAATGATCAGTTTCACATATCTAATTAATATATAGGTATTTGTCATTATATAAATCACAACTGTACCCCTCTTTTATGCTTAGTCAATTTTAGGTGCCCATTGAAATTTTTATTGATTAATATAAATCAGTGAATAAAAATTGCTTGTATATTAATTTACTTCTGGCTTCTATGACTAAGAAACTAAAAGATTTCATAATTCCTTAATATAGTTTCTCCTGAACATAAGAAAGATTCCCTTTGGGAAACAAAAGTACAACATTAAACATTCACATTATTAATAAGATGTACCTTAATTTCAGAAAAGCTAGCATGTGGAAAATAGCACATCACAGAATTAAGGCGGGGGGCGGGGGAGGGGGGGGAACACACAATCCTGACAACACTCTTCACCAAATTGAGTTGTACAGGCATAGTACAGACAGCAAAGATTAATTACTGCATAAAGAGTATAGAGAAGGGAGGAAGAGGGAAACTACAGGCCATAAAGCTAGTCAACCTGTGTTTGCATCCCCAAAATTCCGCAAGACTGGGGACAAATTCTTTAACTGTTCTAAACCCTCAGTTCTTATCTATAAATTGAGGATGATGATATCATCCACTTCATACTTTCTGTGTGAGATGTAAACACTTAAGGCACTTAGAGCACTACTTAGCTAGTATAATACTTAGTATTTTTAGTATCATCCCCCATGATCTTCATTATTACCACTTAAAACTACTAAACAGATTGAAAAACATAGGCACAATATTTTGCAGTCCCTCCTATTGAGAAGTAGAGTTCATCTCCACATCCCTTGGATCTAAGCTGACCTGTGTCTCCCTTTGACCCATACATTGTGGCCGAAGTGACATTGTGTACATTCCGAAGTCTGGGCCTAAGAGTATTGCAAGCTTCCACCCTTGACCTCTTGGAATCATGCACTGAGACATTATGTAAGAAAGCCAGTCTAACCTACTGGAGAATGAGAGGTCACATGGAGAACTGAGGCACCCCAGCTGAAGGCCAACACCAACTGCCAGTCATATAAATGACACCATCTGGGACCTTTCAGCTCAGCTGACTATCCAGCATTTAGTCATGTGAGGCACCCAGGTGAAAGCAATATTGGAGTCAACCAACCAATCCACAGAATTATGAAAAATAATAAATTGCTATTTTAAGCCATAAACTTTGAGGCAATTCATTCTGCATAAAATAGCAACCAGGAAAGTAAAAATTAATAAAATGGTCCTTAGTGTTTAAAAGAAGTTGAACACATCTAAAATATCAGTTATAATAAATCTTCACTCCTTTCTTCCTTTATTCTATAAATATTCATTGAACACCTAGTATATTCCAGATTGATGAAAACACTTTCCTGCCCTTACAGGATTTACAGTCCAGTTGGGATAAAAATGTTAACACATAAGTGAGTATATAATTATAAGTTGTGATAGGTGCTTTGAGAAGAGACTAACAGAGACATACCTTAGCTGTATTGGACAGTTTTTCTGCAGTGCTTAGACACAAAACAGCTGAGAAATAAATTCTCTTCCACTGATTTCATTCTAAAAGAAATGGCAATTGCTTCAAACTCAAAATATTTAAAGTATGAGGAAACTGTTGTTCTACTGCTTTTCTATTTAAAAGAGTAGCTATAAATAAACTACAGATTGGAGAAAGCAGATGGATTTGAAAATTTAAGCTCACACTGAATATAATTAACATAGAAAGAAAGAGACACCAATGATGCCTGAGATCATAGGTGCTCAGGAGACAGGCAAAGGGCTAACTTATTTTTAACACCATAGTAGCTCAGTAGCTCAGTCGTAGGGAAATTTCAAACTCGATTGAAAGTCTCTCAAGAGGTGAAAGAGCAAGTGAAGAAAGAGAAAATGTGGCTATTGGAGAGTAATTAACCTTTTGACCCAGTTGCCAGCCAGAGTAGGTGTTCACTGCTTAACAGAGCTTGGGTGTCCGAGTCATTGCAAATGAGGAGGTCTCGTGAAAGCCTTCTGAGTGTTGCTTACTATTTAATTCTGAGACAATCAAGCACCCGAAGAGACAAATGGGCTTAGGCAAAGCACTTCTTCAGCAGGAATATAGGGTTGCCTTCTGCCCAGAGCTAGCCTTATTTATACACTCAAAGGAAAAGCTCTGGGACAGCTGGATGAGACAGATAACCAAAGGATCCTTGGCCTTGAAGGGCTTGATAATAGTTATTTATGCCTCAGGCCACTGCGACTGAGACTTAAATGTAGCCTGCTGTGCAAAGCCCTTCATGATCGAAACCTAGTGGCCAATCCTCTCTATTTACCCCACAATTATGTCAGTTCTACACATGAAGTATACATTCACAAATCCATGCTTTTTTAGTGTCATTTCTGCCACCTCGTATACTCTTTTCCCTTCCATCTAACAAACTCCTGCTCTTTAGGCCCAATTTAAATTTTATTTCTTCACACTCCCACCCCAGCAAACCAAAATTAGTCATCCCCTTCCTGGTACATATACATATTACTTTGTGGCTCTATCTGTCATAGCTTAACCAGTAATAGCATTTTTGTACTTGTCCTACCCACTAGATTGTAAGTTCCACAAACCCAGAATGTAACTGACTCATTTTGGTACTGATCTATCACAAAATAGGTATTAAGGAAACAATCAGTTGATTAAATAAATGAATTAAATAATAAGAAAAAAACGGAGACAAAGAATATTTGAAGGAATGTTGGGGTGTGTGTCTGTGTGCATATGTTTTAATATATATTCATATTTATATTCATAGTCATAGTAATATATGGCTGTGGAAAGATATATATCTAGATATTAACAAATAGGAAGATTTCTTATATAAGCTAAGAAAAGACTTTGTGTTGGAGATGCCTTACAGATCTCTTTAAACTTCTTTTCATTTGCTTATCTGAATGTAATAAAAAAGCACTGGCATATCACTGGTGTATTAAAATACTTGCAGACATTTTGCCCTTAGTTAGATGTTAGCTAGGTTTTCTAAAAGGCAACTGATTTGCACTCCTCAAGATTTAATGTGGAAAATTATAATTAATGGAGATTAAAATATTTAATGTGACTTCAAATGCCTTACTGCAAATCTATGAGAGCAATATTTAATAAATGATGCAAGTACTTAAAGCTTTCACCTTTATGAACCCATGTCTAAACTTCAAAAATGCTTACTGCATTTTAAGAACATTTGAAAATGCAAAGAATAACCTTTTCAAAATTATATAATTATATTCAATATCTAGTGGAAAATACTCTGTCTTCTTTTTCAATGATTCAAAATATCATAGATGTTATCAAGAAATAACAAAATGTTCTAAAGACAGCTGATTCTACTGGGTGTTTTCTCTTTTTTTCTTGCTCCAGTTGAATTATTATAA